AAGCAGTGGTATCAACGCAGAGTACTCTTAGCCGTTCGTTTTTTATTCAGTCATGACCAAATTTACGACAAAGTTGTTTTTGTGCGATTACAACTATCGTCAGCATCGGCATAGCTGTTTCTTGATGTGAACATGACTTTTCTTTATAGGTGACGCTTGTGCTCAATATCAACGCAGAGTACTACGTGAGTTTTTTTCGTTGCAATGTACATCAAATTCAAAAACTATTTGTAGTCAAAATAATCGCGTTGTCGTCGTTGCTACATGACTAATGGATCATTGCAATAAACTGTCACGTATTTCTGTGCAGCTGACTTGCTATTGCTGTGCGTTGATCTTAACGTGTTATCAAATTATTTGATGAACTTGTTTTGCAGACAAGTGAATCCCCATCAGCTTGGCCCACCCGACAAAAAGTGCAGGCATATAATGATGACTTTCATCGTACAACTATTGACCGTGTGTTTGTTACCGTGTGTACGTTGTGCACAGAATCTTTGACTTCATTTATAATTTATCCAGAGGAATGGCTTGAATGAAGGAACATCAGTTTGATTCTGTATACTGTTGAACGATAGTTGTACTGAGCTATATGAAAGGCTTAGCAGTAGTACTGAAACAGCTTCAAGAAAGACATTATCGACTTAGTTCCCGATGCTATGCCATATCTTTTAGCTCTACATTTCCTAATACTCCCAATCGATTGCACAATCGCCCGTGAGTAGTTTGCAAATGACGCCCTGCGTATATCAGCGCGCCTGCAAAGTGGGCGGAGTGACCACCTCCGGTTACGTCCCTTCCGGAGCGGATTTCTCGCTTCGAAGGGAGTATTTTGCGGCGCTACTTGAGGGTTTGCCTAGTGTGGGGGCCCACACTAGTATGCCACCGAAATCTCATCAACCCTCATTTGGGCGGACGGTGCCTTTAAGGGCAGCGTCCCACCAGACTGGGGGTAAGGTACCTGGCTCTGGTAGTAATGTAATAGTAGACCCCCTGCCTAAGAGACGACAGTTTGCAGCGCGAAAGAGGGTCTACGAAGTCTACAAATCTTCCTCCAAGCGGCCCGAATCTACGGAAGGCTCGGGCGAGTGCGGGATGTATGCAAGGTAGAGACGCAGAGTCGTTGCGGGACCCTGCGCTCCTGACTGTGTGCGATACGGACTCTGGTCTTGCAAATCGATAATGCTGTGCGGGCGGCGTTCGGGCCTACCGTAAAATTTGGACCACTTTCGGAGCAAATTTAAGCTTGGTAGACCCGCTCTTTCGCTCCGAACTTCAGTCATCGCTTAGATAAGAGCTCTACTTTAACATCGCCACAAAACCCGGCACCCATCTTTTTGCTGGGACGCTGCCTTTAATTGCTATGAGTCCAGATGCTTAAACAAAACCCATCACTTTCAAGCATTCTTTAGAATCGCACATAGTATCGAGTGCTCGCACCATTAATAGAAAAACAATCAACTTTTCGGCTAATACACTTGAAAGGTTGAGATCGCGCACGAGCTCAAAAAATCCCTCATTAGCTCTAAGCAAAAATGACCTGAATGTATACTGCTATAATGAGTGAGAAACACTTATATCTATTGAGCGACTCAGGCATGCATTGCAGAGCACTCACTACCACGACTACACCCTTGAAGGTACGTTTAAAAGTAGTCAAATTGAGAAAAGATAACAACCATTGAAACTCAGCTCTCTGAAGTGCCGCCAATAGCTGAAACTCTTTTTCAAAGCCGTTTACTCACACCAGCACACATAGGTGGAATTGGCTGCAATGAATGCAAAGTTGGCTTATTATTACAACTTCTTTTCGGGGCAGATTAAACATCAAGCGTTACTATTTGCTCCAATGACAACATTTCGAAATTAGAGCTTGAAGCCAAATAAAACACTTGCATTGCGATATTGAAGCTGCACCAGATCACATACACAGAAAATAATAGATCCAATTACACCACGGGATTATGCAGCTTTACATTCGCTTGCAATGTAAATAAACATTGATGCAAGGCTTGAAAAACGTTTCTGCAGTTTCTGCTTGCAGAGTAAAGGGAGGGGGAAGTGAGTAAGAAAAAAATACTACTGCGCCACTCAGCGGACAACTTCGGTCTTTCTGCTCCTCCTTGTATACCGCGTGAGGATCAGTAATCTGCACGGAGGCGGCGCTTAATGGCCTTGTTCGTTCCTTCTTCCCATATAGGGCTAGGGGGAACAACGCCCATGAGCATTCTATCCGCGAGTACTGGTCTTTTTGCTCATCCTAATGTATACCGCTGTGGAAAAATAGATAAGGGCGGAGCCTAGCCGTAACGCATACCTCCCGCAATTCCAGACACGTCGCGATTTTCAACTCGGACAAATCTGAGTCCGCAGCGCACGCGCGTCCAACTGTGTGGTCGCGCCACGCCTGTGTTAGATTGACGCTTCGACGAATCGCGAGCCTTTTTTGGGCAGGCATACTCTCAGCAGGGATTTCGTTGCGGCATCGCTCAAACTCAGCGATGTCGCCGTCGCTAGTTCTGCACCAGTGATGGGCCAATCGCTCGAATGGCTTATTTTCTGTGAGAAGCTCCATATTTTTTGCAAATGCGAAACTTAATCAAATTAATCCGTCTCACATAAGCGGTTCTTCTTTGCGTGAAAAGGGTTGGCCGTCAAAAATTCCATACTAACAATCCTTCAATCTTATGTAACTCATGCTGAGTATATAGGTTGTATTGAATGCTTCCTGTTGTCCCTCACCCTCTGTGTTAGCACATTTATGTTCTCGCAATGCATTTATCTTCTCCTATTGTTGTTTCATGATAACAAGTAAGTGGCACGCGAATTCCGAATGTTCTAGTTGTAATCTCTGGAGCAGAAAAGACGTACAATATCGGTAGCTGAGGCATATATGAATAATCCTTTGCAGATTGGTGTACAGGGCTCCTAAACTGCAGAGTCGTTTGCACCAGCGGCCGCGCGACCGCGTCGCGCCTGGGCATTTCGCCAAACCTCGATCGGTGGGGCCGGCGCCGGCATTGTATCTTGACATTTTCTCAGCCGTTTCGTCTTTTTTCTTTGTTCTTCTGCTCATTGAGCCCTCAGCTAG